CGTGCTTGTTGCAGCGGTTCCTGCGTGTCTGTGTGCTTGAAAATATCCAACTGAATGCCGACATGTGCAATTAACGACAAATCAAAGTGTTAATCCATTTGTTACTTGATGTTTGACGGTTCAGTGTCACTCATCATGTTTTGGTTTTAACATACATACATACATACATACATACATACATACAAACAAACAAACAAACAAACAAACAAACAAACAAACAAACAAACAAACAAACAAACAAACAAACAAACAAACAAACAAACAAACAAAACAAACAAACAAACAAACAAACATACATACATACATACATACATACTACATACATTCATATATACAGCTTAAAATTAACAACACAAAAATAAAATGGAAGCATTTAAAACAGCTAGTCAATGATTGACTAATAATGATCGAAATTAAACTGAATAAAAAAAATAAATAAAAGATTAAATGAGTAAATGAACGAATAAATGAATTAGTGAATGAATGAATGAATAAATGAATGAATGAATGAATGAATTAGTGAATGAATGAGCACCTGAGGCAACTTTCTGTCTTCATCGGAGAGAGTGTCAATTGCATTGTTGAAGATCAACTGAACCAACTTCTTCTCATGATCTGAAGACATTTGGATGTTGTGGTGATGAAAGTCATACGTAGTTAAATGATAGAGCAAACCGCTGAGGTGACATTCCTACTTTTACTACTGTCGGTAATAATCACAACAGCAGCAACAACAATAGAAATAAATGGTCAGTAGCAAAGAACCGATTGAAAGAGCCAGCTAACCATCATTAAAATCCAACTTTGAGAGCTGTAGAGCATAGGCCTCACAGTCCTTCTTGCTGAAGCTGAATATGATGATCGGTGCAAAGTTCTTGTTCATAATCATCTTCACGATCTTGAAGCAGTTGGATTCGCCTGAGATGTAGGGGAGATTATTAATGTATCATTCACAGATACATTCAATGGTGAATGTGGCTCAACACCATTCGTGACAAATTAAGAACAAGTATTCTAAAATATATGACCCTGCACAGTATAAATGAAGAGCTAAGAATCCATAGGACGAATTAAATTGTAAACTTTATTTTATCTGAGATGAACACATTGGATAAATTAATAAAATAGATCCCATTACAGTAAACAGAAAGTTCTCCACCACCAGCAATCACCGATTGTTTTTGAAACGTAATGAACAACATTAAAATACATTGAACAGCAAGCAAAACAGCGGCCTTGAAAACCACAGCAAACAACCTTTGATGCCTCCCTTCCTGCCCTTCTGATCACCCTTGCTTGCATCGCCCGAGTCCCTCAAGATCGACATGGCTGTGTTGAAGTTGTCTTCACGGAAATTTCCCTGATGTGTGATGGAATGAAATGCGATCAAATGCAATGTAATATTATTCTCTCTTAACATTACTGAAAAGTTACAACGTAATACAACAGTCAACTAAGGCCGATAATATGCCACAATATGAAGATAAAGTTTACAAACAAAGCCTATGTTTATAATCTAAACAGTGTCCAACATTCCCACACAGCGCTCCTGGAAATGAAAACAAGAAAAAGAACCTTCTCATCGACGACCAGGTGAATGCCGTCTCCACCAGCTGGAAATATGTAATGCTGCAGTGGGGTTGGTCGATACTCTGTGTACACCACGTGGCAGGGCTGTCTCGTTTTAGGCATTAATTAATTAATTAACTGATTAACTAATTAATTAATTAACACAACAAACACACAATAACCCATTCATTCATTAATTAATTGATTGATTAACTAATTAATTAATAAATAAACTAATTTATTAATTAACTAATTAATTAACTAACCAAAAGTTTATAGTTGTTTTAGAGACACAAACAAAAAACAACTCCCTAGGAGCAACAAAATATAAACAACAACAACAACAGCAATAGCAAACCACATGCGGAACCACTAGAGACCTGCTTATGGAGGTAGGATATCCACTCGGCGAACTGCCTGGCGTTGGGGATGGTAGCAGAAAGGAAGACGTAGTGAACATTGTCCGGCAGCAGTATGATCGACTCCTCCCACACAACACCCCGCTCTGTTCGTTCATCGTTATTCACATCAAACATTTTGAATTTCATTGTTAGTAATAATATAAAAAAATAACAATAAAATAATGTTAACAATTAGTGACGTTAATGAATATATATATATACGATGGTGCTGTAAACACTTGTAGAATTTTAAAATAACATGGCAGCCAGCCTCTTTGGAATAAATACGTCGGAAAATGCATTTAAATACACACCGATGTTAATTTTATTCTATGATAGCCCAATAAGGTCTACGATGGGCAGTTGTTTGTGCTTTATAATTGCACCAGGGAAATAACAACTAAAAGTTAAACAACGGGATTTGTTAGGTGCCGATTTGTCTTCTGTATCAAATTAACACTAACAGTGAACGATGAAATTATTTGCGCCACAAGCGCTGAACATAATAATAATAATAATAATTATAATAGCAATAATTACAGCCGCAATAATATTAATAATAATTAATATTATTATCATTATTCCTATGCACTTGCAGCGTCATTGAGCTTAGGAGGATCGTACATTTCATTAAAACTCAATTTTTTATTAAACTTCATTTCTTATTATTTTGAATTGTATTTTGTCGATTGAATAAATAAAATATGTTCACATTATTATTATTATTATTATTATTATTATTATGGAAAAATATAGATGCAATGGCAACCTTTGTCACGCATGTAATGGATTTCATCAAAGATGACCCAGGCCACTTCCCTCATAATTTCCGAACCTCTGTACAGCATGCTTCTAAGGATCTGTATGCGTGTGGAGAACATCATGTTATGTGGTGTGATGTAACTGATGTGATACGATGATTGATGTGATACGATGATTGATGTAATACGATGATTGATGTGATACGATGATTGATGTGATAGAATGATTGATGTGATACGATGATTGGTGAAATATGATTGTTATGTAATACGAGAGCAGCGTCACATGATTTGATGTAATGTGGTGTGAACATGGTGTAATGAGATTGTCGTGCCATGACATGACATGACATGGTTGAGGCAGCAGTTGTTACAGCAGTTGCTGATTGTTACAGCAGTGGTATCACATAACAAATCCATTGGTCACGTGATCACGTCGTCATCCATCACTTCTCAACAGATCAATATAACATCCTTCCTCATCCCGACATATCATATTGAAATAACTAAATTAACTTAATATCGTAAATAACTTAAACGGGTCGGAACATCAGCGCCACGCTCAAACAATGTACAATTTTATCTCAAAAATACATTGCATCGGTGTATTGACAGAAAACATTATATCATATCAACACGATTCAACATATTGGCGTCAACACACAACAACCTGGATTATCATCTCATTAACATCTCATCAAACAACCAATAAGGAATCATAAAAATCAAACAATGATATTGCAAATTAACAAAAACCACTTCTCCTACAACGTCAACGACAACAATAATAACAACAACAACCGTGACAACAACAACGACAACGACAATAATAATGATGATGACAGCGAACAAATGACGACGAGAGACCTCAGTGGTCATGACGAGGCAGCTAGCATCGGGGTTGATGGTGACATCTCCAGTCATGAGCCCGACATCCTTGAACTCTACGTAGAGCTCCCTGTACTTCTGGTTGCTCAGTGCCTTGATGGGCGTCGTGTATATCACTCGTTGTTTGTTCTTCAGCGACAGTGCAACTGCATATCTGCATTCCATGGGATGGAGTATCAAAGAATTGATACGATAAATTGAAATGATATATTAAATTATATTACCTTCGTACATTTAACATTACATAACTTAATGATGCAACTCATCATACAACAACCATGTTGTCGAATTTACAAAAACTGACAAGAAATAATCTGCAATCTGCAGTCTAGTCAGATTTAAAATTAGCCAGTCTCTCTATTGTTTTTAACATTATGTAGAAATTCCTGCCCAGGTCTGTTGCACATTGTTGATGAGATGGTGCTGATGAAATGAAAGGTGGCAGTGGGAAATTATAAAGATGTTGATCGATACAGTCGAAAAAAATAATGATGATGGTGAAAATGAAAGAGAACGTGGTGGCGTGGTGACGCGATGATGCAGGGCAGCAAGAAAGTGGTGAAGAATTATGAACACAAGTGTGTTGAAATTAAATATTTGGGGGGTTTATAGAACATTTAATGTTAGGACTATCCATAGTTCTGTATACTTAGCAGTACGGATATATGTTCTATTCCCTCTTTCCACTCAGTTAGCTAGCCAGCCATGAGTACGTGTATTATTTTTGTCAATAAATTTTATTTTTCTGATTATTCCTGTTTTAATGAATTATATTTCAACAGAACATTCTAGTAGTTCTGTTTGAACAACCTTCATAACATTTAGTAATCAAAAAATCTTTTTTATCATTGAACCTTTTCAAAAATTCGTTTTTATCAAAAATACTACAAATCAACAGCAAATCAACATGTCTAATACTAAGCATAAAGAAGCACAAACAACACAAACACAAATACCGACAAACAAATCAATGTGACATACAACAAAGAAGACTAACAATGCAATAACTGTTTTGCCAGCAGATGTATGGGCAGACACAAGCACCGACTGGTTATTTTCCAAACACAAGATGGCCTCCTTCTGAAAAGGATCCAGAATAAATTTGTACTCCATGACAGGTTTGTGGTCAGGTGCCAGTGAGAGGGGTTGATATGTGATGCCCGGTGGGACTGCAACTTCATGGGTGCATGCCTCCAGTGTCTCTAGTCTGTGAATTTGTATGCGAGGCATGGCTTCGGTCAAGCTATGTGTGTCGCTTTCCTGGCTGTTGTTGGTAGTCATCTGGCGGATTTTATAATTTAAAACTAACTCACAAAACAAATATGTAACTTCATATTTAATATTAATTTTGTTGTAAACTTTAAACACTCGTTACTACAGACACTAATGTTATAACTTCTAAGATTATATTGCAATATATATATTATTTATATTATATTGTAATTACCTGGAAAAATGCAATATCATAAACCCAAGTCAATATGGTTCTCGTGAAAACGCATCAACAGAAATGGCAATCTTAGATCTGACACACAAAATTGCTTCAAATATCGACAATAAATTTTTAACTGTAGGAATTTTTCTCGATCTTAGTAAAGCCTTTGACACTATTGACCGTTCGATATTACTTTCAAAATTGTATCATTATGGTGTAAAAGATGTGACCTGGCATGGGTTCAGGAGTTATTTGAGTCAATGCTCTCATTTCGTAGAAATTGATGGTTGTCGATCTGAATTATTAAAAGCATCAGGCGGAATTCCAATAGGTTCAATATTGGGACCAATTTTGTTTAATATTTTTAAAAATGATGTTACTCTTAGCTCAAATTTAGCTAAATTTATTTTGTATGCAGATGATACAACCATACTTTTGAAAGGCATGAACTTAGCTGATCTAGTTGTTGACTGTAACCATGAGCTTGAACTGGTCTATCAATGGTTCACAGCAAATAATTTAAGACTCAACATAAAAAAAATTTATTTTCTTTTATCCTGACCCTATTATTAACATTTCTAATCTAAAAATTGATAGAATGTTTTAAATAAAGTTTTTAAGAATAATTATTTCAAGCAACCAAATTGGTCCGAACACATAACGTATATAGCTAATAAAACGTCGAAGATTATTGGTATGTTATATAAACTAAGACATAAGATACCAAAAAATATCCTGACCCTCTTATATTATTCTCTTATATTTCCCCTCATCACGTACTGCACTGCCATCTGGGGTCCAAACTGCCACATAAACCTCTTGCAAAAAACTCAAAATCATTTCATAAGAACTTTATATAATTTAAAGAGACATGATTCGACCAAATTTTTCTATCAATTAAATAAAATTTCAAACATAAAACTAAATATATATTGTCTGATTAACATCCTTTTTTTTTATAAAATAGTCATAACTAATTATTAAGGCATTAAGATGGATACTTTCACATTTGTTTAAAATAATGATAAATAATAAGGGAATATGATTGTACCATTTGTATATTAAATACCTGTTTGTATATAAATGTGTGTGTATATAGGTAAACCTTAGGTGTTATAAGTAAAATTAAAAATAAATTAAATAAACCTACAATAAATGATCTGTATTATTCATTAATTTCTCCTCACCTCATCCACTGTTTTGTTAATAACACTTTGGAATGCTTTTTAAATGAGGATATTGTTACTGCTGCTAAAATTTTGAAAAACAAACTGGAAAAACTGAAAATTGATAAAATATCATCGCGAGGCTCAACGAAAAAATAAAAATTGCTTGAACTTGTTTCATTCTTAAAATACGTAGAAGGTAATAATTTAAAGGAAATTTTTCGATATTTGTTAGCGCAAACATGTCAAAAATTCCAAAAATTGAAAATTGCATAAAAATCAATTTGGAATCAATTAAAAATGAAATAATAGAAATTATAAATAAGCAACAGGTGTCTAAAATCAACGAGTTGTTGGACATAAACAAAACAATTTTAAGGCGATTGAAGGTACGGCTCCAGGCACAAATCTAAATAAGGATTGTAACAGGGTTATAAATAATAATTCAAACCATGTTCTAAATACACCAACAACTAATTTGAAGTCTGCTTGGGCTGACAGAGTGAGGTCTGGTGATTTGCAACTGCAGATGATAGCAAAATGATGATGGGTTTACCCTGGCACAACGCAGTAGAAATAAACCAAAGCCAAGATTGCTTCCATCAATGGCTGCTTTCTAATTCAACACAGATTGTTCAACATAAGCTAAAAATCAAACAAGCCAAAAAGGTGATTGGCAAGCAAACCACATGCTCTTCCAACTTGAAGCCGATGAAAATTGAGCTGCGTAAAAAAATGGTTTATGTGGGCAAACTCGCTCAGTGTACACCGAAAGATGCCATCTGCCATCTGAAGTCTATTGACGTGACAGCCATATCATGTAAGCCATTAATCAAATCTATCTTCAACAAAAAATAACAGTATTAACTCAGATACTCAAGGTTTAGCTACAACAAAAACCAGTGCAGCATTTAGAATTTTATTTTATGAATCTGACTTTGATAAAGTAATGGATGAAAATAATTGGCCAAGTAACGTTATTTTACATGAATGGTGTTTTTATAATTCCCAAGGTCAGCAGCCAACCAATAACTTTGTTTTAAAATCTTCCAACAATGGTTAATATAACATCTTTAAATTTGTTGGATCCTGAAAGGCAATTTCAAAATTATTTTTCCAACAAATGTGTCATTATTCCTGCTTATAACCTAAATTCATATGTTGTTGGTACTTAAAATTTCTCAATTTTTCATTAAAATTGTAGAAGTTTAATTTTCATTAGATGATTTGGGAAAATTTAAATGAAAAACTAGAAAATTTGAAGTACCAACAACATATGACTGTTTCCCCAAATTACTGCAATGTAATTTAGAGAAACAGTCCTGACTGTCATTTGTAGGGTATGGTTATTTCTCTCTAAGTGGATTCTTGACTCCTGAACAGACTTATTTCAGATGAACTTTATCAGAAAGAAAATGGTGCTGGCAATCACTTGTGTGTATTGCTGTGATCAATCACTCGTTTATTGAATTGTTAAAATCGTTAAAATACAGCACAATAACTAATCGACAGGTAAATCACAGAATAACATCAAAAACTTGTTCATCTATCCATCACGTTGCAGTATTCCTTTTTTTTTTAGATTTCTACGTCAGTAATTATCAGTATTTTTTAGAGACTTTTTCATTTTTGGAACTTCCATTCCATTCAAGCAAGAAATGCACACTAAACGTCATTTTTCTATACTCCACCAGCCAGAATTAAACTACTATGCATGAGTTTGAAACACGCAGCCCAAGAATATGGGAGACGATTCCACAAGAAATTAATTAAAGATTGTAACTCTTTGCATCTTTTAAAAATTAACCGAAAAATTTTTTAATTATGAATAGTTCTGTCTTTAAAAGATCATAATATATATGTATATATATGTATAATATATATATATCATATATATATATATATATATATATATATATATCAATGCATAGTCTCTTTATTTTGTTTGCATTGAGGCACTAATTACAAACCAAGGTTAGCCAAACGCAGATTTTGCCAACGTGTGCGAGTAAATGTTAACAAATAATGCACTAACTTTTAATCGAAGGTTCGTAGATTACAAAATTGATGATCAGATCCGACTCGATTAGCGAATTATTAAATTTAATATGAACGGCATGTACAAGATTTTATAAAAACATGTACGAGCAGTGCGATTGTAAATCGATCTATGCTTAAAAATAATTTATAGAAAACCAAAGTAAAACAAAGTAAGTAAAAGATCACAAATAAAAATGTTTTTTTTCCCTTTTTTATATTTGCGTAATTATTTAAATTGGCTATTCGTTGTGCTCGCTTCCTTTGTTTCTTCAGTTTTGATCCCGATAATAAATTAAAAACATCAGAAACGGCATGTCATTATTGAGTTTGTTGAGCTGGAATCTGAATTCACTAATTAATTGACATTTTTGGTACATTCATCTATTTTTTGAGATAAAGGACTAATTACATGTTTGCTTTGCAAGAACTAGTTTTAACTAGACCCCAATTATTTTTTAAACACAAAATTTTTTGTCAGGGTGACTACATAAATTTTGATAACAACCTTATTGCAAGCGATCTATGTTACTCAGCATCAGCGACTCAACTTTCCGTTTATTCCTTGTTTAACATGCTCCTCAAATAATAGAAAAGCATCGATCAAAAATAATCACCTTTTCAATTTTTAATGTCATGCAAAAAATGTTACGTAGGTAAACTAGAGAACTTGTAACGTTTTGAAAGTGACCTGTACGGAGAAATACGTCTTTCTAGAAAAAAGAATGTCGTTTTTTTTAGAAATTGATTGAACCAAATGAGAAAACACTAAAAATTGTAAAATGTTTGCATTTCTAATCTTTAATGATCATGCCAAATATGTTAACATTACCAAACTGTTTGGTAATGAAATAGTTAATAACTTTTGAAAAGAAAACTGAAGTTTTGACTGCTTCAATCCAAAAAACTTAATTAAAAAATGTACTTTTATCGTCCTCAACAGAATTTTGTAGCATAAATTTAATACCAACATTTATTGTCAACAAATTGTTATAAACATTATGCTATTTCTTCATTTTTAATTAATTCTCATCAATCCTTGGTTAACAAAAGGTGGCGGTTTTGTCAACACTGTTAAAAAAAACCAGGATTATCATTATCAACACATCTTGAAAGCAATTTCAGGCCGATGTCTAAATCAAAACAATCAAACGACTTGTTGCTAGTCAGCTTCTCAGATATTTATATCATAAAAATTATTTGTTGATAAATAACAATTAATTATTTAAAATTTAACTCGTGTGTATAAAATTTGTTGAGACCAGCATATTGTAAAAAAATTCTTGATGGAAATTGAATAAATTGATTTAAATATAAATAATGAGATTAAGAATATAATAACTATCGAAAGGGAATAATAATTCTTTTTTTCAAGAATTTTTTTAAATTATTGTTCTCATTTTTTTAATCGAAAAACAATCTAAAGAAACAGTTTAACACAGAATATTTTTTATTCAAAGAAAATAAATAGTAGTTGAATAAAAGTTAAAAAATGATGAACGAACACTTTCTAACGTAATAATGCAATAATTACATTGAAAGACGGACAAATTTCTCGATGTCCACAAAAGAAACACAGATGTGTTTTTTACAACTGATGTTTTTAACAACTTCAATTTGTTTTCTTTGACTTTTTGACAGAGGAACAACTTTTTCTACATACACGAATGAAACACAAACGTATTTCTTAAAACTGATGTTCTTAGTAACTGCAGATTGCATCCTTTCTTGTTCATTTTTGGAAAGAGGGACAACTTTTTCTAATTTCACAAATGAAACAGTGACGCATTTCTTACAACTAAAGTTTTTTGTAACTTCAGTTTGATTTTTCTCTTGTTCATTTTTCAAAATAAGAGCATTATCATTTACAGATGGCGTAAATGGACATCCCATTTTCTCCAAAATGTCCGTTATTTTCTTCATAGCCACAATTATTTCTTCTGCTTTTGTCAGGAAGAAACTCTTTTCATATTTCCCGTTGTCCGTTGTCTGCAATCTTTCACCTTGCTCAATTTTATCCATTATGTTGAAAACAATTTTTTGAAATTCATTTTTGTCTTCTTTCAATCTCATTTCATCCAAAATTTGTTCGTTTAATATGTATTGTTCATTGGTTTCGACAGATACTTCTACGTGTCTTACTTTTTTGCTGTCGATTGATGTTATTTTTCTTTGCATTTCCATTGCTCTCTAGTTTTCAGTTTTTGAAACTTTGCAAAATGATGAAAATGAAATTAATTTTTTGTTTGAAAAATGTTATTTGATGTAGGCCTACGTCCTAGTCAACAGAAAGTTATTAAAATTATTTCCAAAATTTTAATTTTTGAGTAATGTATATGCTAAAGATTGATTCTTGTCTGGATTTCGGTGAACACAAAAACTGTTGTGCTTATATAGTAACTTCATGTTGGAAACGTTTGTTGATTAACAAAAGATTCGCCTATCTTAACAACTTTGAATCACTTTGACTGGTGTGTTGAGTTAATTTTCATTGACTATCGATTGTTTGTTATAATTATGTAGGTAATAGTTGAAGTATTCTTTAATAGAAGTATTCTTTTCTTTGTTGGTTTTGCGCTACTTTGTTTTTTTTTCGTTGCTTCATTTTATTGATTTGGTGTCGAATTTTCTTTTATTTCATTATTTCAAAGAATAAAATGACATTAATTAGATAATAGTTTTATTTGACAGCGTTATTGCATTAACATTTTATTCGTAGCTTTGTATGTACGCAAATAATTTTCAAAATAATTACTCTCGTATTTTTTTTATTAAAAATATTTTACCGTTTTCAAATTTTTATCAACGAAAAAAATATTATTCGTTGATAAATGGAATAAATAAATAGAAATTAAATAAATTGATTTAAATATAAATAATGCGATTAAGAATATGATAACGAACGAAAGGGAATAATAATCCTTGCACAATTCCCTAATAAAAAATGATTATCTAATTAACATGGACTATTTCTAAACATTAGAATCGAGATCTCGATATGGCATCGTTTTATAGGTTGATTTTTGACAGCGCCTCGTCCAGTTTTATGGCAATCATCGTAAATATTTGTCGACAGTTGATGCTAGCGCGTTTTGCAACCAAGGTTATACGCCCTTTATTCCCCAAACTAGTTTATTTTTTATGGTGATCATTCAACTGCTTCTTTATCCAGACTTAAAATTTAAACTAAAAAACTATAAAAATTTTTAGAGTTCAGTTATCAAATAAAATCTTCGTTTGGTTGGTTGCAATTAAACGTTTGAAATCAAGAATTTTTTTAAATTATTGTTCTCATTTTTTTAATCGAAAAACAATCTAAAGAAACAGTTTAACACAGAATATTTTTTATTCAAAGAAAATAAATAGTAGTTGAATAAAAGTTAAAAAATGATGAACGAACACTTTCTAACGTAATAATGCAATAATTACATTGAAAGACGGACAAATTTCTCGATGTCCACAAAAGAAACACAGATGTGTTTTTTACAACTGATGTTTTTAACAACTTCAATTTGTTTTCTTTCTTGTTGACTTTTTGACAGAGGAACAACTTTTTCTACATACACGAATGAAACACAAACGTATTTCTTAAAACTGATGTTCTTAGTAGCTGCAGATTGCATCCTTTCTTGTTCATTTTTGGAAAGAGGGACAACTTTTTCTAATTTCACAAATGAAACAGTGATGCATTTCTTACAACTAAAGTTTTTTGTAACTTCAGTTTGATTTTTCTCTTGTTCATTTTTTAAAATAAGAGCATTAGCATTTACAGATGGCGTAAATGGACAGAAAATTATTGAAAATATTTTCAAAATTTTAATTTTTGAGTAATGTATATGCTAAAGATTGATTCTTGTCTGGATTTGAGTGAGCACAATAACTGTGGTCCTTATATAGTAACTTCATGTTGGAAACGTTTGTTGATTAACAAAGGATTCGCCTATCTTAACGAATTTGAATCACCTTGACTGGTGCGTTGAATTAATTTTTATTGACTATCGATTGTTTGTTATAAGAAGTGTTCTTTTCTTTGTTGGTCCTGCGCTACTTTGTTTTTTTTCGTTGCTTCATTTTATTGATTTGGTGTCGAATTTTCTTTTATTTCATTATTTCAATGAATATAATGACATTAACCCTCAATGGGTCCTTGCTAAAAGGTTACGTTCCCGGACCTTGGGGTGGAATTTGAACCCCAGTCAATATTCGTATGTAAAACAATTATAACAAGCTCAAATTTTTTTTAATAAAGATAAAATACGTTTTAAAACTAAAATATGCATATTATATATTCTCAAACGATCAACTAAAAAAGATGTTAGTAAGGAGAGACTCCCACAAACTTCATATAAGGAAAATATTAACTATATTGTCCTTTTAAATTGTTAAAAATCAAATGCAAATGATGTTCTTTTTTCAAATTTAAGTTTTAAATAATTTACAAGATTGTTATGAACAACTTTCACAAAGTATTTTTGAAATGTTTATAGAATGCGCCGGACAAGCCGGTCTGGAACACACATCGCAGAACATACGAGTTTTCCTGTCACACTCGCGCGGGCTCAGAGGACAACATCTTGTCTCCTCTTTTTTTAGTTGGTCAGCGACCAGTTCAATGACATGTTTACATTTTCGTGATAAACTGATAAAAAATTATTCGTTGATAAATGGAAAGTATTCATTTATATTTTTTCTCGTAAAAATTTATTTTCAAAATGATTATTCTCGTATTTTTTTTAAATGATTTGTCTACAGTTAACTGTTTTTTCCAGACTTAACAAATTCTCCTATCTAAGAACAATTAAGAGTTTTATTATCAAATATAATTTGTTTTTGGTTTGGAGGCTATTAAAACATTAAAACGTTTTCAACTTTTTAAAACAGTTTTAATTTTGCTTGCTAGTTTCAAGTACAAATTTTCTATTAATTCAGCATGTAAAACAAAAAAATTTATTACGCAGAGTTGAGTTTGTTTGTAATCTAGATTTAAAAATTTTTTGAATCACTACATGTGAATTACTTTAATTAACCTTAACATTACCTTCTGTTTCTAATATGTTAGACAGTAAAATGATTGCATTTTTTTTACAGGACCAGATCATTGACATGTCTACATTTTTGTAAAATATGCTACACCACAGATTATTTATTTGTTGTTGATAAATGGAAAATAATAGTTTGTATTTTTTAATCGTGTGTATGACGTCTATCAACTTTATAGGTATCAACAATGTTTTTTTTTATTATGATTTCACTGATCTTTTTTCAAAAAAAACTAAAATTGTTAGTTAAGTTCAATTTACTGAGGATTATGTAAACCATAGCTCTATAAAATTATCAAATACGCCGCGAGTACATCTCCCTATCTATTTAAATTCAAATGCACTATTTCCAAAAGTGCAATCAAAATTTTGCTTTCAGTACTAGATAGAATTGTAATTTTTCCTAGATATCTGTAAATCAATCAATCGTAAAGTTATGTATGCCTGGTTGCCCTACTCGATATAATCGCTGTGTATGGTATTGTTGGTTTATAGAGGTTTTTCAACTTCATAGGTAGGTTTAGTTTAGAAAGGTTTCAATTATATCTATCCGTAAAAACTTAAATTGTTAGTGAGCGGCAGAAACAACTACATCGACACTGGAAAATCATATTAATCGTCTCTTTCAAAAATCTCTTGCAATTTATAAAATAAGGGCGATCGGACGTTGTTCTACGGAAGAATACTCTAAAACTCTGATAAACATCGTTGTTTAAAAAAGTTAATGGTTTTTATACACTGTTCCAAATCTCAAAGGAATCAACAACACACAAACAGCATAGATAAATACGTGCCAATCGACGCATCAGCATGTGAGAGGCGGGGATCCTTTTTTCATATTCGAATGCTATCACTGCACACACTGCGAAACAAGACCAAGAACCTTAAATCATTAGGCCATTACGTCGGTTTCGGTACAGATATTGGTTATTGCAATTCTGTGCTGTAGATTTCAACAAATGTCAGCATTCAGCCACTGCATCAGTTGCATCCATCCAGTTAGTTTTGAACATGAACTCGACGAGTATCTTAATTTGACAGAATTTCTAACTAAACGAAAAACTCTTTATTGGTCACCTGTGGACAGGGAGAACAAAGTCTGATTTAAAATAGTTATCTCATTGTGGAACCAACTGAAAAACACAATGTCCTTGAACAAAATTGAATAAATAACGGTAATAACGATAATAATAATAAATAACGAAAAAGATAACGTTATTAATTTTGCCTATATAATTAAAATTAGAATTTTATTTAATTAGAGTCACATATACTTTCTAAGTGTATTCTAAGTATTTGCGTATATATATATATCATTTAGAATGAAATAAATTTAGTATATATTACATGGATATTATATATATTCATGATATATTGTTCTTTTACCTTTTAACATTTAACTTTACTTTTAGTTTGTTATGAATTGAACGAGGAAGTTCATTGAATACGAAATAATTAAATTCGCTAAAAAAAATGTTCTTCATACTTTCCTCTTCAAAGCTCAAAGTCGGCCTCACTTGTTTGTAAAAGTTTGCTGGTTGGCTGGTTGGTTTGTTTCTTTGTTGGCTGGTTGATTTGATTGGTTGGTTGGTCAGTTAGTTGGTCCTGGTTGGTTTTTTATTTTATTCATTGATTGGTTAGCTGGCTGGTTGGTTAGTTAGTTTATTGGTTTGTTTTGTTAGTTAATAAATACCAAGTTCTAAAGTTGTGTTTCTGTTTGATAGAAAAAAACTAATATTTATTATGTTTTTTTGCCATGAAGTATAATATTTATTTAATTATAAAATTATATTATGCATGAGCCTATCCCTACTGGTCTGAATCTATCCGACGCAAGATAACATTGAATAAAGCCTAACAAATATATGGAAATTCTATCAGACGCAATGTATATCAAATATACTATATATATATATATATATATATATATATAGAATTATATATATATATATATATAGAATAAATTGATTAGCGCTTTACTTTGCAAATTAATAATTTAATTTAGACTTTATATATACTATTTAATTTCTAATAATTTTAATATATTTTGAAATTTTTGGTAATCATTTTTAATTGTTGTTCATAATAAATTTTTCACTCAATTTTCAACAATTTTGGACATGAAATTGAATTAGCGCTTTACTTTCCGAATTAATAATCTTAAGATACATATATATACAAAAATTGTATATTGCTTTGTAATAATCTAATAATAGAAATATCTTTATTCTAGACATACATACGAATACATTTATATTAAAATATCTCGGTTATATTGACACACGGATTTTTAACAGGATCATTTGTAATATTTTGGATCAATAATTGGACATGAGGCTGATCATCGCCACAGCCGACAGAACAAAATTAACTCAAAATATAGTAAAATAATAAATATATCTTTATTCTAGACATATAAAAGAATACATTTTCATTAAAATATCTCTGTTATATTGACACACTGATTTTTAACAGAATTATTTGTAATATTTTCGATCAATAATTGGGCATGAGGCAGATCATTGCCACAGCCGACAGAACAAAATTATCTCAAAATCTAGTAAAATAATAAATATATATTTATTCTAGACATATACAAGAATACATTTTCATTAAAATATCTTGGTTAGATTGACACACTGATTTTTAACAGAATTATTTGTAATATTTTTAATCAATAATAGGACATGAGGCAGATCATCGCCACAGCCGACAAAACAAAGTTAACTCAAAATATAGTAAAATAATAAATATATCTTTATTCTAGACATATACAAGAATACATTTTCATTAAAATATCTCGGTTATATTGACACACTGATTTTTAACAGAATAAAACCAATGTGAGCTGATCTCCAGTCCTCTTCTTCTAATAATCTCTTTGTCTTATCTGTTAGACATTCTTTTGCCAAGTCTGCTTTTGCCTTTTCCGGCCCTCTTATCTGGAACTGTCTGCCTTCTTCTCTTACTTCTTCCAATCACCCGGGTTTTGAGAGGTCAATCTAGGAAGTTGGTTGAGCGACAGTATTTTGGCGCGTATAAAATGTTCAAAAATAGGTTGGGATTAAGGCTGGAGACAACAAACAAAAAGCCATTTATTTTTCAAATTGATGCATCGGAACCTAGGCCGCGGACTAAAAAAATAATTAAAAATAAAACAAAACAATTAAAGGTTGGAATACTAACACTAACGCTTTATTTTAATTGCATTTTTCGCAATATTAGGATTTAAAATCAAAGGCTAATGGTGGAATTGATGAACAACCTCTATGAAACCTTTCCCCACATCGATGCAAAGTGATCATGTTCCCCTTAACATCGGTGGTCAAAACGGCAGGGGCATACCAGATTTATCTCTATTTTTTTTGGCTTACCCTTCTGGTGGGTAACTTTTCTTCTAAACGGATGAAAAAGTTTGGAGGTGAATACTTTTGCCAATTCGGCACGTAAGTTTTCTTGTTTGTATGAACAACATGTGGGATTTAGCCCACAAGCTAATGATGATGCAAAAGCTATTGCTAGGGCCCCGCAATCATTCGAGCCGATTTGTTCCTGAACTTTGTGTAGATGCATGATTACATTCTTTTGTTCTAGAAGAATGAAATTTTTCATAATGGAACAAGTCACCCGTTCATCCTCTGGCAACATTTTTGTGGGTCTACTGTCATATATGTCAATTATATTTTGTTCAGAAAAAAATTGCTGACGGTAATCCAATGGTTTCCCCCTTTGTTTAATATTTGTATAAATTTTCCAAGTTGCTGTTTAACCCTATATGTGTTAGAAAGTCAGTGTCAGATAGTCCATCAATGTGGGGGTATTGCAAACTTAAAATAAACATGGCGAGATTGATGTGATCTGATGACAGCCAACTAGTGCCTTGTAGATCTGACCAAAATGAATTTAAAATTATTGGTTGTTGCTGTATATGAGTAACTGGTTTAGTGACAAGTGACTGGTTTTCCTGAATCTTGTCTTTAATTAAAATTAAGGGTTTTTTTGGGTTAGAGACATAAATTTCCTTTTTCCTCTGTTTCCTTTTTTTCCAAACTTCCAGATCTATTTTTCGTTTTTAAACAGTCTTTTTTGATTATCAGCAAATTCTGTGATCATCGCTAGGTGGATTTCCCTGGTATGTGATAACAAAATCATCTATTCTATTTAACTGTCTCGTCATTCTTATGTGCTTTAAATCCCATTGGCTCTTTTCCATAATGCCCTGTGTCCTATAGTCTTTTGTAATGTTTTGAGTATCTTTTAGGATCAATTCTAAATATATAGCGTTTTGATTTTTATAATTATCTGATGTGCCATGTCTCCCAAGATTACCGGTTAGTAAATTTGTCCAAAGAAGAGCACTGGGCAAAAGATCTTTCTTAAATGATGATAAAAATTCTGGGGAATAATACATATTTTTTTTAATTCCGGTGTCTGTTATTTTAGCAAGAGCCATATTGTTTTCGCATGCTTTCATAAAAGATCCAGGCTGGCAAACGTCCTTTAAAAAGAGTTAAATAAATTATATGTTAGAAAAATATAATGACATAAATTTAACAAATTAATACAATTTTAAACTTACATCTTCCGTTTCCGCCAATTCTGTAGTTGCTGTTGCTCCGTTTTCCTCTAAATCAAATTCGTTATCATTTATGGCTTGTTGGAGTTGAAGCAGATATTGTGTCACCTGTAGTCCTTCAAACTCACTCCCAAAAACTCCTTCCATTGATATTAAGATACTGTTCAGTGCGTTTATCATTGTGACATTAGCCACTTGTCCGAAGAGGTGCATTGCAAAGGTAAAATTTTTTGGAATGTTCTTTAAACATAATACCTTTGCGTTCTTCATAATGTGGCTCAGACATCTGTGTATGATTGGTGTTTGGAAGTCTTTAGTGTTTCCGTGACCAACCACTATCCTGTAGTATCTTTCCATAATTGATTCCAGTAGCTCTTAGCAGAATGTCCGAGCCAATGCTTGCAGCAAGACGATGGACCCATCACAAATAAAATACCGCGGGCTTACCCTACTACTTTTCCCAAACAATTTACAGTAGTCGCTGTACAGGAAGTTTAAAAATGACAAAATTGAGGCAGTTGAATGAAGGTTTGTCAGGTATGTAGCTACAGGAAACGGTGATCCTCCTTTCATCGAACTTCTGACAACCATTTCATAGATATGAAATGGATGTTTCCTTTTCTTTACAATACTTCCTGTTGCGTCTATGTACACCACATCATCGATGCATCGTTGATGTAAAATTTTTAAACTTTCTTTGGACCAGATCATGACACTGGGTGGTTCAGTGAAAATATATTGCAGACAGGCATAGCTTTGGTGTTGTTTTTCAAAATCTTCCTTCAATAATCTCAGACTTTCCATTTCGTTTGGATGCTTTCGTTTCGTTTTGTTGTACTGGCATACAATTTGCGAAAGGACCGCTACAGAAGGAGCATCATCTCTGTTGCCAGCTGCTCGTACTTCAGGGCACAACTCTTTAATGCAGTCTAGGTGTTTTTGGCGAGGAATAATATTTTTCATCGAAGAAGCAATTTTCCCTCTTTTACTCGCCCTAATCGGTCTAGCCATTATTTCCGACAATCTATGTATGCAAGTTATGCCAGAAAATTTCACATGAGCATCAAGAAGATCTTCGTCAGAAATACTTATTTTGAATGTTATGGGACACCCCGTGAATTTACAATATCCTTGAGCATTGAAAAGATAACCTTCGCGCCTAATAGAATCCACTTTCTTAACCCTATGCCACAAAAAGCATAAGCAGCAATATGGAATAAATTTTTTCAAATTTTTTGTCATTATATTAATCCAGTCTAAATTTTTAAACAAATGATTTTGTTGTGATTGCCGTAATAGTTGCCATTCAACAATTTCAAGTCTAAACGAAAATTCCGTTTTTTGTAAATTCTTGGTCCATATGTTGTTGGCTTCTAGTTCCTGGTCTGTGAAAGATGCCGAATCACTATCGCTGCAGGTATCATTATCTAATGCGGCAGGTTCGACATCGTAAACATTCAATGACTCATGCCGATCAACATTCATTTCAAAAACCATGTTGTCTTCTACCAAAGCAGTCACTTGAGAATGCGAGGGAACAATTTCTTCACCAACAGTAATAGTTGGTGTTATAGAAACTGTTGATAGTTCGACTTGTTCATATATTAAATCTGCACTGCATTTCAAAATTATATCGTCTTCATTCTGGATAAGATTAGACGTCAAGACATTATCAATTGTAGTTGTTTGAACCACGTTGTTCATTAATGTCTTACCCACTTTGTCTTCTACATTAACGTATTCTATTTTTTTTGAGCATAATTTATATCTGCAACAATGGTACAAATGTGTACAGTTTTTTTTAGTTCGAGCAATTGCTAGCCTCAAACAACATTCCTCCCAAACACGGTTGTTCTTCTCAGTTGAAAGTGCTGTATCTAATAAAACCATGTTTATTGTCTCTTCCACTTTCTGCAATTCTATCTTCCTGGTTGACTAATTTATTTAAATTGTTTATTAAAGCATTATGGTATCAATTTTTTTTTATAAAATAATGTAAATTTTAATAAAATTTTTACTAACGTTTTTAAACCCTTTAAAATAAACGGTATTCTTTTCCTTTCCCCCTTTCATTTTTTGATCGATTTCGTAGATTTAATGAATTTTCAAGTAGTTAAACAACTATGCAATAGCTTTATTCAAATAATAATAATAGTAATAATGAAAAAGTAATGTATTTATATAAAAACCTGAGAATAAAGTTCTTTGTCATATGCAAAAAAGTTCTTTGTCATTTGTCGATAAAGTTTTAACGATCAAAGTTTAACAAATAATTCTGTTAAAAATCCGTGTGTCAATATAACCGAGATATTTTAATAAAAATGTATTCTTGTATATGTCTATAATAAATATATATTTATTATTTTACTAGATTTTGAGATAATTTTGTTCTGTCGGCTGTGGCGATGATCTGCCTCATGTCCTATTATTGATTCAAAATATTACAAATAATTCTGTTAAAAATCAGTGTGTCAATATAACCGAGATATGTTAATGAAAATGTATTCTTGTATATGTCTAGAATAAAGATATATTTATTATTTTACTAGATTTTGAGATAATTTTGTTCTGTCGGCTGTGGCGATGATCAGCCTCATGCCCAATTATTGATCGAAAATATTACAAATAATTCTGTTAAAAATCAGTGTGTCAATATGACCGAGATATTTTAATGAAAATGTATTTTTGTATATGTCTAGAATAAAGATATTTCTATTTATTATTTTACTATATTTTGAGTTAACTTTGTTCTTGTACTTGTATATATATGTATCTTAAGATTATTAATTCGGAAAGTAAAGCGCTAATCAATTCCATGTCCAATATTGTTGAAAATTAAGTGAAAAATTTATTATGAACAACAATTAAAAATGATTACCAAAAATTTCAAAATATATTAAAATTATTAGAAATTAAATAGCATATATTAAGTCTAAATTAGATTATTAATTTGCAAAGTAAAGCGCTAATCAATATTTTATAGTATATATATATAGTATATATGATATACATTGCGTCTGATAGAATTTCCATATATTTGTTAGACTTTATTCAATGTTATCTTGCGTCGGATAGATTCAGACCAGCCTATCCCTCATCTGTCCAAGGTAAATACCTTAGTACATTTATTTTACTTCATCAGCAGTAAATACTGCTGCTTAAATGATAAATAATTACCAGATCAACGGTAAATAACGTGACTTAACAATTTTTTGCTTGGTCAACAGCAAGTTGCTCTACAAAATAAGTTACTAGATCCGCAGTAAGTAAATACAGTGTTTCTATTGGTAATACTATACTCAAAGACCAAAGTCAAGTAAAAATCTAGAACAGAATCTCGTTTGACAGCGTTTACTACTTTAAAGATATACATCGTTTCATAAATACAGTGTTATATTTATTTTTATTATTTAAGCTATAAAGAAGGTTAAATTTCAAAATTTGATAGTTTTTATACAATATTAAATCCAAGGAAAATCAGTCTGTTCAACCATGATTTTGGTCATTTGGAGACAATCCAACAAAATTAAAACTGTTTGAACTTCAAAATTTTTATTACTAAATAGCAAAATAATAAAAAAATAAAAGGAATAACAGTGCTGCTTTCATGTTATCATCACATATGTGCATTTTCCATACATCTGTTATTGAATTTTTTTGCATTGCTGGCTATACATATTTGGTGGCCTAGTAACCTCACGATTCACATGCAATCCACTCAATTTGTGGCATTGTTGGTCTATGACAATATGGAGGGTCTAATAAACCACATTCCGAGCGTCCATTTTTTAATGTCTGCCTGTTTTTATTTGTTTAGATTCGCCAATCCAAAAACTTTGAATTGTCTTTGTTGTGTTTGAGCCAGTCGTCCTGTCAACTGAAATTGCACATCTTCTGGCAACTGACTCTGTTCAGAAGCCTGGAAAATATAATCACAAATCACTGCATAAGTAGTAAGAGAGTTTTATTTCTTAAAAAGCTTTTTGTACTCCAATTGTTTAGCATACCTACACCTGCAAGGTCACACTGTTGTTCGTTTTACGCAAAGGTTTCCGTTGGCGAATTTGTCAAGGTAATCTTGAGCAAATTGTGAAGTCTCCAAAGTCATTTTCTGCGTGAGTTCCGTTATCAAAAAATTAAAATAAAATTTAAAATTATTGAATGAGTTTGGTAGAGATCACGAGCAAGTTATGTACAAGTACATGTAATGTGCTCTGAGAATGTCAACTGACCAATGTATTTACACTTGCCAAAGATTCACTTAATTTATCTAGACCGTGGCTCTAGCAATTTTTCAACACCTCAAGCAGCGTTATATACTGCAGATGGAGATCTATCCCTACTTTAATTTTAATGATGATCATTATAATTATTTCATATCAATCAAATGAAGAAATATGAGCTCTTATTGTAAATAAAATAAATTAATAAATCAAAAGTAACTTATGTTAATTAATCTTTTACTTGTTAAAATTGAATAATAAATAATAATGGATTATAGTAGTAGTAGTAGTAGTAATGCTGTTCTGGAAATTTATCCAGAGAGCATGCTGTCAGGCATGCTAGCACAGCCGATTCGTTGATTGGCAAAATTGAGAGGACCACATCTACCGGAATAGAATTATTCAAATTGTAAGAAATAAAATCGAGTTTCAAGAAGATTTGTTGTACACGACTTTCCTTTAACAAAACCATGTTGTTGATTCAATACTATATTATTTCTAGAAACTTAGTCTTCTACTTATTCACGCATAATACTTTTCATTATTTTGCATGGAACCGACGTCAAAGAAACTGGGCGATAATTTGTTGGTACCGTTTTGTCGCCTTTTTTGTAGATCGGTGTAACGTTTGCTGATCTGAATTGAAGTGGAAGCTGGCTGGTAGCCAATGAAGCTTGGAATATCAAAGCAATAGGTACAGCAAAGGCTTCTGCACAATTTTTTAACAAGGCTGGATGGAATTTGTCAACACCACAAGATTTGTTTGGATCAAGCTTTTTGATTTTATCCAAAACCATGTCATAACTGAAATCATCTGGCATCATATCTATAAACTGTTCACACTTACTTTTTTTAATCTTAAAAATTGGAATGTCAGAATCGTGTTCAACAACAAAAACTTTCTGGAACGCTGCATTCATAAGATTCACAATTTTATCTGGATCGTAACTTATTTTGCCACTAGGTTTCCTCAAAGACTTTACTGACTCCCTCACTGTTTTTTAATTGTTCAAATACTTGAGGAGAATTTTAGAATTATTTTTAGCTCGTTCTACTAGTGTTACCTCATAACGAAGACGTGCTTTGTCGATTTCAGTCTTAACAAATTTACAAAAATCCTTATATTCGTTACGTAAGTTAGTATCATTCCATCTACGTATGTTATTTTTGTATTTTAGACACTTTTTTTCTGATAAGTGATTTCAGATGTGAATTTATCCATGGAACTGTTTTATTACTGCTCATTGTTGCATTAACTATAGGCACAAAAAGATTGCACACTTCATTTGTGTAATAAATAAGCTCATCATACATTTCCTGTGGAGTCATATTTTCAAATCCACATATGGATATCACACGAGAAATTTTTTCAAAGTTTCCTTTACTGTATAAAAATTTGTATCTGTGCCTTTGTGAATCCGAAATGACATTTCTCAATAGAAAATCAAAGGACTAAATCAAGTGACCTTGACTGATATTGCCAAGGACAAAAATTGGATCCACAGAGCATATGTTACCCGATTCTTTTGTGAAAATCAAATCCAAAATATTCTCTGTCACACCGCTGGATTTTTGAAATGTTGGTACATCGACATGTTGATAGAAGAATGTCTCACTGATTATATCGCTGAATTTATGTTCAATGCCACTAACATTTTTTATTGAAACAATTGATCCATTTGACCAACCTATAAATGGGAAATTAAAATCTCCCATTTTTAGGACATCTTTAAAACCTTTTCCGTTAACATAACTTTTAGCCTGTTTTAAAACTAGTTCGAGATCATCCATATCCACAAAATAATCTGGTCTATAGATACAGCCAATTAAATATTTACCATTTTCAAAATAAATTACTGCCCACACTTGTTCAACATTGCTTCTACTAAAAACACCATCTGTGACCTCATATGAATTAAAAGGTGAGTTGATAAACAAACACATTCCACCACCACAGCGTCCGTCATTTCTATCTTTTCTATACACTTTAAAGTTGTTTATGTTAACGATTGGGCTGTCTTTAAACCATGTTTCACTAACACCAATAATTGATGGATGATGCGTCTCAATAACAACTCTAAATTTGTCCATTTTATTATCCAGTGAAGTAGCATTGAAATACATGCAGTGTAGCGTTTTGTGTCTGTTTGAAAAAGTGCTCTATCACGGGTTAAATTTAAGTTAATGTCATTTGATAAATCTTTGTACTTGATTTCCACGGATGACATATCGAAAGGGCGAGTCCGCACCAAGTTCTGCATTTAAACTGTTTCGATGTTGCCTTAATTTATAGTCCAGTTGTCTCTCAGCTTCTGTCAAATCTGGAGATATATAGACAGATTTGAATCCTTCAACGTCTCTGAATTTTTTGGCAGCAAGGAGAACTGGATTTCTCAGACTTGCATCTGTCAAATCAACCAGTAATGGACTTGGTTTAGTTGTATCCTTTGATCTTAATCTTTTTGAGTATGCCGCCTTAATATTTACTTTATCTACCACCTTCATTATTTTTTTGGTTTTCGCTTCATCTTCAGTTCTTTTATCTGTTGGATTTGGAGCAGAAGACTCTGGTACCCCGTAGATAATGATGTTTTTCTTTCTCTTCTCCCTCTCTTGTAATTCACTAATAGTGGTGTTAGCCATCATTAGCTGTTCTACTGGATTTTTAGCATTTTTCGTACCCCTGGTGACAACATCAACCCATGATTGGGTATTAACATTGAGTTTAGCTGCTTCTTTCTTCGTTGACTCAAGATCATGCTTCAATGTTACAATTTCTAGTAAATTTTCTTTATCCTTTGCTTCTAGCTGTTTTACCCTATCTGCCAAGGACAGAAGAAGGTGGAAAATTTTTCCGCACCATTCATGCAACTTCTTAGCAGGTTCGCCAGCTGTGTTCCCCAACTTCGGCCATTTTTCCTCTTGCAAAAATTCAAGGTCCATAACGGAGCCATAAGGCAAAAACTAAAATTTTTCCAATCTGATTTCCAAACGAAAATGCTTTATTCTAACAAAAATTAAAATTTTTTCTAAAAAAAAAATCAAAATTTTTAGCTAATTAACTCAAAATTAAACTTTTAAAAACGATTGAAAGAAAATAAGCAAGACGTGCGAGAAGCTAGCCACGAAAAAAAATTAGTGATAATTAAATTAAATTAATTTTGGTATAAAAATTCACACAGAGGTGGTCAAGCACCAGGAAAAGAAACTGACCTCTTCTGACCAACACCGACCCTTGGTGTTTGTGACTGGCACCAACCAACTTATAAAAATCACGTAATCAGTAATTTAGTTATTTTTTTTGTTTTTTTAAATTTAAATTTCAATATTGAGTTTTTCCAAACGCAGCTTAAGTTCAAGCTCGAGTGTGATCACAAATTATAACATTAATTATTCTTAGAAAACTATAATTATGATGCTGTTTCAAAAGTAACAAATTAATTGTAAAGTAATAAACAATTAATTAAAAAATAAATTACTTCCATTAATTTTATTAAATCATATAACATATAGATTGAATTAAACTTCACTGACTTGTTATAATATAATTTTAAACCAAACTAAATTCCTTAAAAAAAGAAATGATCCATATTCACAATTAGATTACTACTGGAAGAAGCAGGAAGGAGATGTCGACCCACTCGTACAGCATCTGGGATGACGAGGATTACGACTCCACCGACATGTCATTCCAGTTCCTCCTCCCCTCTGGTTTCCTAGTTGACATGAAGGTCCAGAAAAATGCTACAATAGCAGCTGTTAAAAGGGTATTTGTTTATTTTATTTTTTTTCCATCTATTATTTGTTTCATGATTTATTTAAATGGTTTTTTACTTATTTGTAATGAATTACTTATGTGTAATTGTACAATGGAGTGATGATTTTTCGACCACCTGTATTTAAGTGCTTGGCGATAATTGCTGATTTCAAATGTTGTGTGAAGTGAAGTTGTCATGGAGATTAAATTGGATTGTTCATAAGAACCGTAAATCTTTCTACACCTGGCAGTGGCAATAACAATGATGACAATAACAATGGTGATAGTAGCAATAGTGATAGTAAACTAGATAGTAATGCTGTTCATAAACAGAGCAGTGATGAACTGTGAACTATGAACTTTGAATGATGAACTTTGCAGGACTTGTGGAGAGAAATGAAGACGCATCCATACTACGGTTACCTGGGCAGTTTGGAATGTTATTATTTCATCTGCATTGATGAAACATCCAATAAGGTTTAGTAATAATTTATAATTATGTTTAGTTCGTGATTATGGTTAAATTTAGTCGTGATATAAAAGTGTAGTTGATTCAAGTTACGATTTGTTCATTTGCAGATTGAAATAACAGATGAAACTCGCCGCCTGTGTGACGTCAGACCCTTCTATCCCATGTTCAAACTGGAGAAGTTGAATGATCAGGTGGCCGGCACTGAAAATTTTGAACGTGTGTTGGATGCCAGGATCACGGTCCTTATTGGCAAGAGTTGGTTTATATGCATATTTGTTCAAACGTTTTTCCAGATTCTAAATATTTGTAGCAGTGAGTTATGTGCTTCCAGTTCCGGTTGTTATGTGTTGGATATAAAATAAGACATCTGCATTTTTTAAACTTTGACGAAGGTTTGAAAGATTTGGATGAGATAACAGAGCCAGAGGTGGTTGAGTTCCGAAGTAAGATGAGCAGCATGTGTTACAGCATCATGATGGAGAATAAGAAACAAGTACTTCAGCAGTTTGTGCTTACGTTAACGATTTTCCTCCTTATTGCATCAACTTTTAACCACATTTAGCTTTATATTATCATTATTGAACGCGTTTGATGGAGATGTTGAACTGCTGCAGGACTGGCTCGAGCAGGTGACCAGGTACCACCCGCCGGATTTGGTTCCCGTTAATAAGCTGCCGGATCTCATTGAAGATATACTCGCACAGAACAAAGAAATAATCGTGGTTTCCGTGCACGTTGAGGATGAAGAAGTCTGTGGTTGAAAGTTATTTAGTATAACTTAAAATTAACTTGCATCGTTTTAGTCCAATAAAGTTTCATTAAAGAGCAATACTATTGTCTTTCAGTCACTCAATGAATCACTGAATGTCATTGAATTAACAATCCATTTGAAATGAGTTGCACTTACTTGAGAAACGTTATACCTGTTTATAAATTAACATGCTCTAAAAATTTAACTTTATAACAATATTCAACTGTACTGTTAAATTATAAAATTAAAAATCTAAAAAAATACTTGATTTGAGAGCATTCAAGAACAGACAACGCGTGCATATGCTCATTTGTATGCTTTTCGTTGAAATTTCTCCATTAAGCATCAAATGGTTTACAAAAGTTGTAAGTTTAGTTTTAACATTCATGTGGCACATGACATTCTTGTAAACTCAGTAAATTTGCACTAATAGATTAACTGAATCGCTTTTTGTAATTTTTTTTGGAATTAGCATAATTTTTTCAAACTAAGACTTTTTTAAGTTCTGTTCAATATATGAATTTGCTTTAGACTGATTTTCTCATTTATAACTTCTTGCAACCTACTGGTAGGTAATCTTTTAAAATATGCTAGCTGCCTTTAAGATGATTGTGAATTATCTAGTGTTTTTTCGTAAATTTTTTACTTTCCGCATACATATTTTCTTATTTACATTGTGAAGTTTTGTTCTCGATTATTTGTTTTTTTGGATGTTGCATATTTATTTTACTGGCATTAAATGTTTTTAGACAGTTTAACACCACGTTTCTTAAAAACATTTCGTAGTTATTGAAACTTTTTTGATATTTTTACGAAGATGTTTCAGCGTTCACAATTTTCCCAACCTAACTCACTTACTAATTCTATTGACCATGCCAGTATAATTATCTCTGCTTGCTTTCGCTTTCCTTTGCAGTCATGCTCACCTTTCTTTCGTTGCCATTACTTTCATTCTTATAGTTACATCCCAATTATCGATTGCACCCAGCACGTCTCAAAGACCTCGAAAATAAGAGTGAAATACAACATAACGCCGAAGCAACTGATCGACACATTTTTCGAGAAGAAGAGCAAGCAGAACTTGAATTGGAGTGCAGGCGATTACGTCCTGAAGGTTCTCGGACTGCAAGAATATCTGCTGGGCGACTATCCACTCCACCAGTTTGCGGTTTGCAGTTTTATCAGCTAGATGGCACTATTTCATTGTAATGCTGACTTTTGGAATATTTTTTTCGCGCACAATTTTTTCAGTTTTTCAATTGTTATTCAGATTCTAAGTTTAAAGAAATGTCATTTTTCATTTAACAGCACATAAGAAGTTCACTAATTAAAGAAACTGTACCTGAGTTGGTTTTGGTTCATTACCAGTCCATCCCTCGTGAGTCTTATCCCAATTGTCTGCTTTTCATCAGACTTATCTGCATTTGTTCATCCTTTTCATTCGTTCATCCTTTTCATTCGTTCATCACCTTCATTTCTTCATCACATTCATTCGTCCGTACTCTTCATTCGTTCGTCCTCTTCATTTGTTCACCCTTTTCATTCGTTCATCCTTTTCATTCGTTCATTACCTTCCTTCGTTCATCACCTTCATTCGTTCATCCTCTCTTTATTTGTTCATTCTCCTCATTTGTTCTTCCTCTTTATGGTGACGTTTTGAACGTCTGGTTAAGTTGTGTCTTCCTTGAACGGTGAAAACATGCAATCAGACACCATGAAATCAGACATCATGCAATGTAGAGCTGATGCTACATATGCTGATGACACTCGGTATAACGGACCGCATAAATGCATTCCAACCAACGCAGTGGCAAAGTGAAGCAGATCTCGTTTTAAGAAACCATTTCATCTAAGATGTTTAAGATGCCAAAGATTGTTTTCTATTGAAATGAGATTTTGTTTTCATGTTGTTGTTACAACACTATCAAAGTATTTTTAGTTGTTTTATTGACGCAGTCATGTTCTTCATTTTGCTACTTAATGCACTAAATTGATACTTTTGCGTCCTACCTCGGGCGAACTGGGTCTCTGGACGCTAAACGAAGATAGATAGATTGATTGATTAAATTGATACATTCAGTTCCGAACAGCACAATCGAGTACAGGCCTCGCAATGCTTTGAAAAGTGAGCTGATGAAGAGGCTACACGAGGGGACCAGTGTCTTCGACATCAGTGACAAGTTCTCATTAATGTTGAGTTCCTCGATCAACATCAACCTGCCTGATCATTCCTATGTATGACTTTCACTCATTAAAACTTTTCATATACCAGTATTGTTCTTTATTTCAATGCATTTAAACATGGTAAGGTAACAAATAAAATGATTTGTTAATTTTTATTTCATGCTCTTTGTGTAATCAGTCGGTTAGAAGCCATTCAGAACGGTTGTACACCTATATATGAACGATTATGGCGGCGTGATGGCTCAATGGTTAAAGGCGCCTGGATCTGCTGTTGCAATGACTGGATTCAAATGCAGACATCCCCGCCTATCACATGCAATGTGTGTGATGCGTGGCTTTTACGCATATTCATATACGCTGTGCCGTTTGTCGTTGAAACCTCCGAAGCAGGTGCACAAGAGAGATTGACCTTTAACCTTATACCTTTAAACGAACAAACAGGTTGTTGTACGAGCGTGCATATACCACGGTGCCGACAACTTGTGTGGCGTGGTTGTGTCGAAGGAGAGGCCGGTGCAGAACAGGGCGTGCTCCTTCAACAACGAACTCTTCACGTTCGACATCGAGATGAGGAACATTCCGCGCATGGCTCGCGTTTGCTTCCTCCTCTACACGCACAACGACAAACGACAGCCCAAACAAAGCAAAAATTCGTCAGACTCCAACAAAAGGATCTACAAGAAAAAGGTAGACCTTCATTCATTCGAACATTCACACAAATACTCGTTGTACCGACGTCGTTTTATTACTTTCGTCAAAATGAATGCATTTTTAAGTGGCAACTGACGCAGCAAATTTTGTTGCGTTGTATTTTAGGGCATGGCACAAAATGTTGCATTTCTGAGTGATTTCGTCATGACTAAATGAACTTGACTTTCTTTCATCCTACCCTTGTTTGGACAAACTCACATGACACAAAATCTTCTGTCGATGCGTTCTATTCGACGCTTCTCTTAACATGGTGCCGGAAACTCACGCAATGATGCATTCACTATCGCTGCCTCCAATTAAATTAATTAATTAATTAATGCTAATTACTTAATTAACGTGTCAATAAATGAACGAACGACCAGGATATGATTCCTCTAGCTTGGGCCAACCTGCCGATCTACGACTACAGGGGCATGTTGCGGGTTGGTGACTGCAAGCTGATGATGTGGCCGGTCACTGACGATGATGCACTCACTGATGAGTTACTCAATTCCATCGGTAACTTGTTGCCTGCGATGTTTTCCATATCACTTGCTCTTATTATTCCTCGCCATTCGTCATCATTCGTCATCATTCATGAAAGAGTGAGAGTTTAGTAGTTGGTAATTGGCTGTTAGACTTGGTTGATGGGCTGATTATATAATTGCTTAGTTCATTGAATACAAATGACTTAATTAATTAATTAATTAATTGGTTAGTTTTTTGATTGCAGATTTATGTGGAAAAAGGTTTCATTTGAATTTTTTTTTGTGAAGATTACTTTTGTTGATGACAATGACAGTTAAAATGACTATGACAATGAATATATATGATAATTATATTTATTTCCAATATGCTTATTTTTGGAAACGCATAAGTACAATAATAGAGGTGAAATTTGAAATATTTTAAAATTGTCATCAATGATGTACAAACTGACTGGTAGGAACGGTAGCGATGAACACATCGAACGAGGACGCGGCCAGTCTGAACATCATCATCTCCAGGTTCACCAAACTGGGATCCGTCTACTTCCCACCTTTCGACAAGGTTTCATCATTTTTCTTTATCCCTTGTTTCATTTTTTCATTTTTTGTTTCATCTTCAATGAATTGAAGAATGTAAAATTTTTTAAAACGTTTAATTAAGTTAAATTTTTGTACGTTTTTCAATGACGCATATTTGACTACTTGAGAATGCGCAAAATATTTTGAGGAGGTGGTGGAAAGATTTTTTTTTATATTTGATCGACTCGACGCACTTTGAAATTTTATTCATGATTGCTTGCGTGGTTGAGTGACTTTTGCGCCGATTGTTTCAAAAGTCAGCTTGCAGTCGAGAGGCTGTTGAATCGAGGTTCTTGTTCAATGACCTTGTGTTTTTTACTGATAATTACACGCAGTCATGAGACGTAAGACCTCCTGCTAAATAAATACATCTTATGAATTATAGAAGAAAATGCTATCCTTTGAAGCATTTCTGTATTTATGCGGCAATATGAAGCAACATTATAGAGCTTGCATGTGCACGGAGTGAAAGATTAAGTGCGAAACAAACATGGAAAGTTCATTATTAAAAAATCAAATCAAATTTAAGAATTTTGAAATTTCATTAATTTATAAGTCTGGGTGTGGTTTTTTCAATTTCTAATTAATAATATAATAACAATAATGATGGTAATAAGTGATAGTGATATAAAATAAAATGTGAATCGCTATGAGGTTCACCTTGCATTATAAATTAGTAGGACGAGAACATTCGACGCATCATAATGATGTCAATTAAAACGCAAATGACAGGTCTTGGAAACTGCTGCCCACGCCATGACGGACTCTCTGAAGAAGAATCTCCCGGTAACCCTTGTTCTCACTATGCGAGAAATTATTGCAAAAATATTAACGATGATTTTTATTGTCGCAGAATTTTTTAAACATTATCATTATTACGAATAACGTATGTGAATATTGCGGCTATGAAAGAACTTTCCGTTATTTTTTTTTTTAATAAAATCTTCCTGGTTTTATTTTTACAATGTTCTTGGTGGCCTGGTTTTATTTTACAATGTTCTTGGTGGCCTGGTTTTATTTTACAATGTTTTTGGTGGTTATGCGCTGCTGTTGAATGAACTTACGCAGGCGGCCTCGAAAGAGCAGTTGGCACTTTTCGAGAAGTTGTTGGACAGGGATGCATTGCATCCGATGTGTGAGCAGGACATGGAGCTGATCTGGAACATGAGGCAGGATTGCAGGGATCACTTCCCACACGCACTCCCAAAACTTTTGACTTGTGTCAAGTGGAATAATTACCTGGAAGTTTCCGCTGTAAGCTTTTGTTTTATGTTGTTCTTTTTGTAACATTTTCAAAAAAATGTGTTTTTGTTGAATGTGCCCTGGTTATTTTTACAGTAAACAGTTTTTTATTTCTTTGCGTTCGTAAATTGTGCAAACTTTGAGAAATGAACCTGATGTATCTTAACATCAAGCACAATGCATATCCATGATCGATCCCAATCTGAAAACTTCAAGTTTCAAGCTAAATTTTACGTTTTTTTGGTAATAAATATTTTGTAGGATGAAGCTGGAACTTATTTTATTCACAATGTATGCTGTGCTGTATGGATCGTGCTCGTTCGCAGGTCGTGCTGCAAATATTTTGGCCTTTCTGACAAAATCATCTCAACGAGTTTTGTTTTTTATCATACATTTAAGCAACCTATCCGAAAGCCTGCTTGAGCAATTTTATTCAAGGTCTTTTTTGGCTTTGTGGAATGGAGACTAATGACATTAGGCAATAATTTTAAAACTTAGCTTATGATTAAATTTTACTGCTGGATTTACCTTACAGATCTCGTAACAACTTGGAAATTAATATGAGTTTGCAACTTCAAGCAATCAAATGTTTCAAGGGAATCTCACATGCTTTTATGTATTAGTTGTTTTTAGAAGGAAATTGTGAAACGTAAGCGGCTTCAAATCAAGAATGACTGAAATTTTTCAAGTTTTGTCTCTGTAAATAATTTCGATTTTCTCCAATAACTAAATATCGAACAATGTTGATTGATCGTAAGAATCACACGCATGTATAAAATATCACCATTAACTTTAACTAATTTTTGCAACTAACAAACAAACAACTGAAATCTCTGCAGATGCATGCTCTTCTTCAGATATGGAGCCCCCTGGAACCTACTGACGCCTTGGAACTTCTCGATTTTCAATATGCTGATCAGTATGTTCGAAGTTTCGCTGTCCGCTGCCTTAAGAACATGAGGTCCGTGTTTGTTCAATTGACACGATGACTTCATTACAAATAAATATGGATGATTTATGAATAAACTTATCATTTTTTTTATATAAGGGTTATAAATCTTTTAACCTTTCAAGTGACTCGCAGTTGTGTTTGTATCTCCTGCAATTGGTTCAAGTGCTCAAATACGAATCCTACCTGGATTGCGACCTGATACAGTTCCTTCTGAAGAGAGCCCTGAAAAATAACAAGATCGGACATAACTTCTTCTGGCTGCTCAGGTTAACAATTAAATATTCAGAGGATGGTGATAATATTCAGAGGATGGTGATAATATTCAGAGGATGGTTATAATATTCAGAGGATGGTGATAATATTCAGAGGATGGTGATAATATTCAGAGGGTAATGATGATGGTGATGATAGGGAATAATTCATTGCAAACGAACTGATTAATTTATTCGATGCGATGAAATGGCGTCCATTGAGGTTCAGGGTGGGAATATTTTTGAGACCCTTATCGTGTCGTCTTGTCATTGTACTGACTCACTCTTATTTAATATATAAATTTAATAAATGTAAACTAATTACTTTCCGGAACTGAATTCTGTAAATCTGTTTTAATTACACATATAAGTTAATATATGAACAATAACTAAAATGCACTAAAATTAACTTTATGTGATAATCTAATGACAAAAAATGAGATTGTCTGAATAGATTAGAATACCAAATTCATGAATGCAGGTGAGGAGAATGAGTAAATTTATGTAAAAAAATTTTAAAATTGTGTGAAAGAATCATGGAGGCGATTTTGGTTAATATCAGATGTACGGCACACATCTGACCTATTGACTGTCATTTTGTGGGAGTCAACCCTAGATAAGCATTTATTGCTAGGCTGACTCTTTCACTTTTTTGTGAATAAAATAAAATAGATTAAAAAAATAGTATTACAATCGTGAGCATCATCTTTGCAACGCAGGTCGGAAATGCACATCCCATCAGTCTCCGTCAGGTTCGGATTGATCCTGGAGGCTTACTGTTACGGAAACATTTATTCACTGGCCGAACTACACAGGGAGGTCGATGCACTTTACAATCTCAGACAGCTCAGCGATCACATCAAGGTTGGACAGTCCAGATTTCTGTTCCTTCTTATTGGTTGTCATTTATAAATTTAATTTAATTTAGCTAATATATACACTTAGTTTCTGAATAATTCATGTTGAATTTTTTTGATCAACTTAAGTTTGGTAGGCCAACAAAATTAGTTTGGAAACAGTTGATTTCTGTTCTCCAACTATTTCAATTCCAACAACAATAATGCACTAGAAATTCAAACCTCCCAACGACAATGGTATAAGTAATAAAATTGTGGAAACCTTCTTTTCAAGGCGTGTGGTTCATCGGGTCTCTCCATCGACAAATTGAGAGCGGAAATGACGAAAGGTCTCGATAAGAAGTACAAGGAAGCCCTCACCGCCCTCAGCTGTCCGCTCAACCCCAGCGTCAAACTCAAATGCGTCAGGTGGTTCAGTTTTGTTTTTTCTTCGTTATTTTTTTTTTCCAGAGCAAAATTTACGTTTGATGGAGCGTAATAAGAAAGTTGGACTGAATGATCTTCCAATGATCCAATTAACGAGCAATTTTGTTTCTTTGTTTAAAGTTATTTGGAGTCAGTTACATCTGTCCTTTGCAGGCGTTGTTGATCTGTTTAATTCATTTATAATTTTCGTACACAATTAGAATATTGTGATATTTTTTTCTTTTTCAATCAACTGTTTACATTTCTGCCTGAAAGACTTGACAAATGCAAATGTATGGATTCTAAAATGAAACCCTTGTGGATGGTCTGGGAGAATAATGAGAAATGTGGCAATGACATGTTCCTCATGTTCAAGAAGGGAGATGGTTCGTTTCGTTCGTTTGTTTGGGATCATCATTTCCTGCACAATTTATTCAATTAGATCGATCACAGATTAATAGATTTATTTCATTGGTTAATTGTAGCCGTTAGATTAGACTAGATTAATTCAACATGTAAAGTATTTTACAACTGCATCATTTTTCCAGATCTGAGACAGGATATGCTGACCTTGCAAATATTGAAAATAATGGACAATATATGGCAAAAAGCTGGTCTCGATCTCAGGTTTGATCATTCATTTTTTGTCGATTCCTCGTTTGTTGCTTTCAACGCCGACTGAAAAGGAGAATTGAATTTTTATTTAGTATTTGAACAAGTATTTTGTTTGTTGATCATTCTAGTGACAAACTTCCGGTACTTTGTTTTAATTTTTTAAGATGTAATTACTTGAATGGGCAATTTACAAAAAGACAGATGATCTAAAATGTGCTTGTTTCTACATAATGTCTCTTATAGATAATTACTTTGAACACCCAGATTGCTCGTTTATAACGTCTTGCCGTCTGGTCAGAAGGAAGGTCTGATTGAAGTGGTTACAGACTCGAGGACGTTGGCGGAAATCCAACTGGAGTTCACCGACATAACGCTGGTGGCTGGCTTCAACAAGAAGTGCATCTACCAGTACTTGCAGAAACATAACAGCGATCCTAAGAGGTCGGCTTCTTAATTAAATGCATATTTTTTGAACGTTCATCACACCACTGAGGTTATTTATTATCATTGCTCCGACTAAGCACATTTCTCCAAACAATTTTTGCCTGTTTGATAGTAATGCGTTGTGAAGAATTTTAAATTTTCATTTCATGTAACTGAAAATTTTTTTTAACTAACGTAAAAAATTTGATTTGAAACTGGAGCAGTTTCGACAAAGCCATGGATGTTTTCACGAGGTCCTGCGCGGGTTACAGCGTGGCTACCTACGTGCTGGGAGTGGCCGACAGACATTCGGACAACATCATGATCAGGAAAGATGGACAGGTTGGTTGCTTCCAGAACAATTGATCAAATGTTTCATCGTCTTCAAAGTTACTATAACTTTTGAAACAATTTTGTAGTTATTCCACATCGATTTTGGTCACATCCTTGGAAACTTCAAAAGCAAATTGGGTGTGCGAAGAGAAAGATGTCCATTTGTCTTGACCGCTGACTTTGTTTACGTCATCAAGAAGGGACAAGAAAAAAACGATTTCTTTAAAAAGTTCCGCTTTTTTTTCACCAGTTTTTGTATGTAGTTTTGCGATAAAGAAATATATTTCACTAATTGAAGTTTATATTTTACCAAGTTCTCTAATGTTTCTCTAAGTTTGTTTTATATTGCTTAAAATCGCAATTGTTTATCAAAGGTGCTAACATTAGTGGTCAAAAATGTGATTTGTTTTTTTTAGATTTGAAAAATTATGCCAAGAGGCATTCCAGACGTTAAGGAGGTATGGCAAGTTTTTGATCGTGCTCTTCATGATGATGATGAACACCGGCATCCCGGAAGTTTCCTGCCTCAAGGATATCGAGTACCTGAAGGAAACCCTCGTCCCACACAAAACTGATGAGGAGGCCAAGGAACATTTCAAATCCAAGTTCACAGAGGCCCTGAAGAACAGCTGGAAAACAAGTTTGAACATGGCCTGCCATAACCTGCGGGTCAAGAAAGGTCAAGAAAGTCAAAATCAAAATAAATAAACAATAAAAAATTATCTATCATGTTTGCAGCAGTGTAATTTGTAAATATTTTATTTAATTATTTTAAGTTAATTTATAATTTTGTGGTTTCTGATTGTTAAGTGTCTGTTTTGTTTTAATAATTTGTTGAAAAACTGCTCAATTAAAAATGTTATGCGCTTCTTTAGTGATCATGCCATTTTCATTCCAATGAAACATCCTTTAATTTACTATATAATTTGTTCGGGACCTTTGATTTCCTCTGCTTATCTGATCCTGTATGCCTGTAGCAAGTAAGATGTTCTTCTTTTCAGTTTAAATGTTTTTTTTTATGATCACTCACTCGTGCCTTTACGCGAAAGATATTTTTTAGTTAATTATGTACGTTCGTTTGTGTGCGTTTGTATGTGTGTGCATGAATTAACAAGACACCGATTGTACGTTAGTAATGTGTAGGTGGCGTGTAATGTGTCTTCATATGGTCTTAGATGTAAATATATATATATTTATTATATATATATATATATATATATTATTTATATATATATTATATATATATAATTATGATTAAAGGCGTTAATATATATATATATATATATATATATATATGTGTGTGTGTATATATATATATATATATATGTGTGTGTGTGTGTGTGTGTGTGTGTGTGTGTGTGTGTGTGTGTGTGTGTGTGTGTGTGTGTGTGTGTGTGTGTGTGTGTGTGTGTGTGTGTGTGTGTGTGTGTGTAAACACTCAGATGTACAGTTGTTTAGGAAAGTCACAGCATTTTCTGCGGTACTTAATTTTTCTTTTTTCAAGCTCTCTTACTATGTATTTCAGTTGATTATTAAGTTTATTTAAGCCATACACAAAACTAGTAAATTTAGAAATCGACTTTACCGAGATGACACACAAAGAGATACAAAAGAACTCACAAAAACACTTTAATTCACACAAAGAGAAACAAAGAACTCGTAAAAACTTTATAAACATAGAAACAAAGTGACAGTAACTTATATATGGACATAAATAGCACGAATGGAAATAGGAATTTCCGAAAATAGATTTTCTGTTTTAAATATGCACACTAATTTTGTTTATGAGTTAAATTAACTTAATAATCAACTGAAATTCATCGTAAGAAAGATTGACAAATTAAATAGAAAATTAAGCAACGCTGATAATGCTGTGATTTTCATATATATATATATATATATATATATATATATATATATATATATATATATATATATATATATATATATATATATTCGGAATCGAAATATGGCCTTATTTGCAGCATGAATTCGAAAAATAAGTTTATTTTGAATTTTAATAAACTAAACGTTCACCAAAAAACTTTAGTGAGAAAAATCGAAAAAACGAACTACAAACATATTAACGCCAAACATTCGGTAGAATTTATAGAATATTGTAAAAAATATATATATATATATATATATATATATATATAATGCGTAGAGTGCTGCACAAATAAATGATGATTGACTCCAGTTGAAGCGTTGCGTTTTTTCGTTCACTGGCGATGGCGTTTTCCTTCGTTTATTTTTTTTACATCGATCATTCTTAGTTTAATTTTTTAATTTTTGTCAATTTGAATACTTGAGGGTTTCAATAGTTATTTCAACCATTATTGTTTATAATTTAATTTTTCTAGCTGCACTTCACTATTTAACAGTGTAGAAACTTTTTCGAGTATTTTTTTTTAAAACTGATTTTTAGACGAAGTTGTTTGAAGTGAATTTGATTCATAAAATTAAAATAGCGATCAGTTAGTTCGTGACGTAACTTCTGGTCAACGATCATTTCATTGACCTGCTCAGTTCATGCCCTTCCAACTCCCACCATCTTCATCGTCTCCCTTCCTTCCTCCAATGTCTACTGCCTTCAAGATCGTTTTCAATTTGTGTTTTGATTATTTTCTTGTCAACACAAGCGATGTAATTGAAAAGCTTTCAGTGCCCATGATCTGTTTCGCCCACGTTGCACGTTCAATTACCACGATCATCCTGCATTCTCTGGTGGGGTCCATTCATCAAGCAACTGCAAATAATTAAATTCGGTGAATTCAAAAAAAATCGTATTAATATAATGATACATTTAATGTATTTAATGATACATTTTGTCGTGTTAATTATTAATTAACGGATTGAGTGAATGAATGATTGGACGATGAATAAATGATTGGTTGATTGAATGATGGAATGAATGAAGTAATGAATGAATGAATGTGGCTGGTCATATGAAAATAAAAAAATTACAAACGACAATAGAAGCAAATGACTGAAATGTGAACTACAATTTCAATGGCAGATAATGTTCAATGGCCATCCTCCTTTCCAATCCAAACTTCAAATGTACTTTCGATCACTTGAGAGCACGTCATCCATTGTTGACCACAGTTGACCAGGCAATTAGTCGCAACGATATTTCCTTTCTTTGAAACTGAACAAGATACAAAAATTCGAAAAGCACAAAAATTTTGAAAAAAATGTTGTGATGCTTCAAAGACGCACACAAATGAGATGCATCAGTCAGATGCCATATCACATAACTATGCAATCTCCACGTAGTTGACATACCAACGGTCACCGAGTTAGCTCAGTCGGTAAAAATGCCATGATTCGCGATGGCACGGTTTGAACAGCGTCTGTCCGAAACTCAAACACCATCACACGTGTATGACGCGGTGCAATTTGTGCATGCATACATGATGTGTCCTGTGGTATGGGCGGTACAGCCTCTGAGGCAAGAAGGTTTAAAATATAAGTATAGAATGACAGAGCATGTAATCACGAAGCAGTCTGCGTTTGACAAAACTGCATACATTATGAAGAATAAAAAAGTATTCCTAGGCACCTCCACCCGTAAGTGACGTCACTCATCAATTTCAATTATGACTAATGTTAATGGTATTATAATTATCTAGTCATCGGTTTGGTTTGAAACCTTCGGTTATATTTACTTTTCTTTTTTTTATTTTTCAAATATCATTTTACAATTTTCTTTACCTTTCTATGTGCATTTTCAATAATTTTTATTGTTTTTATTTTCATTTTCGCATTATTCTTTTGTTTTTAAAATATTTTTATTGCTTAAATATCTTGCCTATTGTGCAAATCTTTGCGTCTGTCAGCGTATAATTTTTATCTAGAAAAAAAGACACAAATGGCAGTTTTTCAATATTGCAGCAATTTTGTTATCAGTGAGTTATCAATGAGATTTTGTTGTCAGAGTGCTTGCAAGGCAGAAGTTTTTGGTTCTACCTACCGTTACCGATCTAAGCAACATTCGATATGCTGATGCCTAAATGTTTAATCTTCCATGATGAATAATAAATTATTTATTAGATTTTTATTGCATTCGCAACATCAAATGAATTTTTATAAAAAAATTTTATTCAACACATTTTCAAAATAGCTGTAATAAATTTTTTAATTTTTCCTAATAATTATGTGAAATCATAATTGTACCGGAGATATTTTAATTAGCGCCATGCATCCGCTTGATTGAAACATATCGGTGTTGTTACTTACCTCATTAGGATTCGACGGAGCTGCGTGTGGTTTCGACTTTTGATGTGCGCTTCTTACTTCANNCTCGCCCCC